GTAACCAAAGCTTTTACTTGGTGTTCTTTATTAAGTTATCCCTGTTAAATAGTAGTGCATTTTGGATTTCAAATGCAAGGGGAGCAGTCCTGCTGAATCATGCCTCTCCAGCTCATGAACAACAGTTACAAGGAGGCCTTCAGTGTCCCTCCTAGGTGACCTGACAATGATGGTCTGGATTGTTGTCCGCGGCTTGCATTAACTCACTTCTTGGAGTCTCCCTTGGCTCTCTCCGCTGTGTTTCACTCCTGCCTGCCTCCAAAAGATGAGTTCTTATGCAAGTTACCCTATAAAATCTAGCTTACTTGCAAACTGCTCACACAGAATGCAGCAGCTGGAACAATACTTTTATGCCTTCCCCTCCAAAATATTTTTCAGACATATATCTGTAGCTCTAGTAGCCTTTGGAGACTTTTACTGCAGAAGTATCATCTGACAAAGGCTAGGTTCACATCTGTGCGGGTGATGCCGCTGCGGATCCGCACGAAAATCCGTGCAGCTGCACCACCTGCACAGGGAAATGCGGACCCGCGAGTGGGTGCCATTAGTTCTAATGGCACACCGCCCGTACTGGAAAACGCAACCGCACTGCGAAACGAGGTTCCAGTCCAGGCTGCATTTTCGGGAAGAAGTGCAGGGACTTCTTCCTTGCGTGTCATGGGCACAGGAGTCCATTCAAATTAATGGGCTCTCGTGCCCGTGCAAAACGAGGCTTACATGGCCGCTTATATGTGAACTGGGGCAAAGAGTCTCACAAAGGCTTGATGGATGAATATGGCCTAACAGGCCTAAGGATATCATACCAGCTTTTACTGATGCTGTGCAGATCACTTTCGAAATAGAACAGCTTGTTTCACCTACTAAAGCTATATCCAGTCTGGGATGCCTAAAGGGCCCCAAGTCTACCACTATTTTCCTGGTAGACTGCTTACTTGAACCTGTTCTATAAAAAAACTGGAATGCTCCTGATAAACTATTTACCTCCCCCTTCCTCCAAATATTTTCAGATCCAATATCAGTTTGATGAGAATTATCTTAAGATGTGGGATATTTTTGCTGTGGATCCCACAATACCCCTCCTTAACAATGGAGCATCCTCAATAGGTTCAGTTGTTTTAGGAATTCCACTATTAAAAGTTTAGAAGCCCTTTCAAATTCTTTGTTTTTGCTAGCAGGCCCTGCTATGCAACCTGCCATGGTGCTTGTTTGTCAAACCCTAGGGGAACTGACTCAGCTTATGTCAAATGATCCAGCTACAGTCCACACTGACAACTTAAAATTACACGAACAAGGTGTCCATCAAAGCGGTTGGAGTAAGGACCATGCAGTAAACCATAGTATATATTACATAAAAAATATTGAAAGTTTATTTAATTTAGAATATGAATGCACAACAATGCCAATCATGTAAGACAAAATAATAATTACCAAACACCAATAACCATCATCTCACGCCAGACGTTGTCTGTTCCCCTAAATCCATATAAAATAGGAACCTTGACGTCACAGTATGGCCCTGTGTTAAAAAATAATTAGCCTGACAGTGACTGCCGCTGGTCGTCTGCCAGGCTGTTTATCACCCTATGGGCAAGCTTTGCTTAAGTATGAAATACATTGCATGGACTACAATAATTGTTGAAAAATTATCCGACTAGAACTGTCTTTATCTAATTGTCACTGGATGATTATCATGTGACAGAGATAAAGTGAACCACTCTTGAACTAGTGTAGAAACAATCCTTAGTAGAATAAAGTGGTATGTCTAGTCCCACAGCATTAGTCACTGGATAGAATATGCAAATAGATGGAAAACAGAGCAGGTAGCTGTTGGCACAGGTTTGAATATGCAGATAAACATTTTCAGCAGAGAAATAGCGGTAAGGATGCAGAGATTGTAAGCAAGCTTAGGCAGTTCAGTAGGCTCCTAGTTTTTACCGCAGTAAAGTCAAGGTGAGCTGTTGTATATGTTGACAAAGCGTGATTACTCACCGCCGGACTGTACACTCTAAGTGTAGTTTCGCTCCCTTCCTGCTTAGGACGTTCCGTCCATTATAGGAATGGTGTGCTGTAATAGTTGCCTGCAAAGCTCATCAGTTTCTTTACCATCCATAAGGTGTAGCATTGGTATTACACCCCTATGCCGCTGTGCATGTTTTCCATTCTGTCGTGGTTTTAGTCCGTTTGCTTCTCCCATCAACTGAATGACCTGCCCCAGTGGATCATGGCCATCCGTGATGTCACTGACGTGTGAAGTCAACATGTTTCGCTGCACAAATATTTTATATATCTTTTAGAAGGTTTATGGTTCCTTTTTAATGTACAGCTGCTTTCTTATTAAGCGCTCGCTGAGTTTTATATATTGCGTTTCGCCAATGGCCAATCAGCTTAGTCAGGACCAATAGGTTGCTTAGTTTCACACTCCTTTCTAGTGGTAAGCCCCTCCTCTTTATGCAAATATCCATTTCTCGAGCAAACCTATTGACTATACTATAATATAAATTGGAATTCCTTATTCACCTACATTCAGTTTTAAATCGTAGATCCTAAATTTACAAATTTAGTTCAGCTAATCTTTCCTCATAGCTGAGCTCCCCAATACCTCTTAGAGGCTTGGTTGCTCTTCTCTTCACTTTCTCCAGTTTTCCAATATCCTTTTTGTGAACAACATGTTCCCAAAAGTGAACTACAAATTCTAGAAGAAAGAATGACAACTGCCAATATTTTATTCTACAGGGCCCCTACTCTCAGAAAATATTGTTTGTGGGGTTTAGATAATTTTTTAGCAAACAATGCTAATTTTAATATGTGTGTGAAAAATATGTGCTAGAAAATTGGATAATGAACTCCAGGAAACATGTTTTGAACTACAAAATTTTGTTGTTAATAATATTATTGCATGTTACTTTATATAGCTTTTTTTTCTTTGAAATGTTCAGTTGTATGTATGTCCAAATACTCTATGACCAAGAGTTCACCTGCAAGATATTTCAGAGCCTTTAAAATTGTAAACAGGTTTATGTAAATTTTATAGCTTGTCCTCTACACAGGTTAAGTGAGCAATGGTAATTGTTAAATTATTTCTATACAGAGCTAAATTATTAACAGGCACAGATGTGTAAACTGTATGCAAGATTAACATGTTTAAAAAGAAAAAAAACAAACACTGGACATTAGGTCAATGATGAAAAAGTATTAAAATTCTTAAATTAATTATAGCACTGAAAATAAAAATGGCAAGAAGGTAAGTTTTAGGCCATGAAAAGTTTATAATCTGCCTCACCAAAAAGTGCTTTTCTAATACTTCTTCTAGTTCTTCAAGAACCACAATAAAGGGATTATACAAAATATTGAAATGACTCCAGGCAGATTACTAAATCTTAATGCAGCTACAGCAAGATTATGCAGTAAGAATGTATTATTTACACTTTTGAATCGGGCCTATTTACATTTTTGTGGTGGATTAATGTGAAAGGCAGAAATGAATGGGCTACCAATATACCCTAATGTCCCAAAAATCAGACATATACAATGTCTGCCAATGCAACGCACTACTGTGTTTTGTGACATGGCGCAACGCAGTTCCAAACAAATGGCACCACAATACATGTAACATGTGTTGACCTGTATTTCTGCAACACAAAAGTGTTAATGGGCCATTAAGCTGACACATCGAGACTATTATGAGAAAAGTATGGGGCCTGCTGATGATATACTATCCTTTATGAATTAGTTCCCTGGCTTGTTATACCAATGTTTTGCCTTCCATGCTTTCAGATTCTCTGACGCTGAACAAGCATAGGGTAAAAGGTTTTTGACGCTCATTTATGGCAGGCTTATTTCAGATCAATGATATAAAGTATGACATGAAAATAGGGGTGTGCAGCGCTATATATAAATAAAACACACTGTCTAAAGTATGACAAAATATGACAGAAATGGAAAAATCCCATAAACTGGATGTTAGACAGTCCAAGGTATATAATATAATATCCTAGGAGGAGCCTCTGCACGCCTTGACGTTACGCCACCGGATCAGGAGGTCCGGTGGCCATCATTTATATTCACTGGTCAGTGTATTTAAAGAGCTCATTTACACTATACCTGTATAGGTACTCTAACCCTGTACGTTTACTGTTTTATCTTAATGATATATACTCAATAAATACTTTTTATAATACTACACTATGAGCGTTCTCATCTCTACTACCTGGCACTGAGCCTCCACATCTCAGCCCAGCATTCTAGGAGTCCACCCAGGCAGGACAATTTGGGAAATTGGTCCAGATCAACTTCTCTGGCAGCCGTCACCCTATCCACCACCAGAGGGCACCTTTATCATCAGGCTATACCTTCATGGGACCTCCGGCTTCATGGAATTTCTATGTGCACATTAAATTGCACTTCCGGTGAGTGGGCAATTTTTCTACACCTTCATGTTAGGATGCTGGAATATACCCATTTGGATTGAAGTCATTTATACTCCATCACTGGAATATACCTTTTTGGACTGATATTATATTACCTTGGACTGTCTAACATCCAGTTTATGGGATTTTTCCATTTCTGTCATATTTTGTCATACTTTAGACAGTGTGTTTTATTTATATAGCGCTGCACACCCTATTTTCATGTCATAATCTTAGACAGGCTTTGTGGTTCCTTTTTGTGCATCAGCAGCTTTTTATTGGTGCGCTCGCTAAACTCACACATTTATAAATGATATAAAGTATGGATGCCAGACACCACTCATCAAGGCAAATAACATTTTCAAAAGGAAAATTGGCAGCCTTACATTTTTCTCATGACAGAGCTGTAGGACGACTTCCCCCTACTTCCAATGTAAAAGCCTCCCAGCATTCAGTGGTGGCTAGGCAAAGAAGAAAAAAAGTGAACACAATGGAATATCAGAGCCTCTCTCCACTATGATGCCATAGCACATTATAGTAAAGGTGATCCTTGATAACAGCCATTGATCAGTCCACTTCTGCTCCAAAAGGACCTTACATCTTACCCTCTAACACACCTTTTATTTCTAAAACTATTTGTGAAATGTCCTTCTCTGCATTTACGGACATGAAACGTTCAGGTGCTGCTGGAGAATCCAGCGTGTCAAACTGTGATGCTAACAATTCTACTGGCATGAAATGTCCTGTTCTTCTCTGAATCCTCTCAGAGATCACTTTCCATGAACCTTGTAAGTGGATGAAAAATATATCTGGATCAAGGTTTTCTTGCTGCTTTCTGTCAGATGTACATAATTTTGTCCCAGTAGCCAGCGTTTCCCTGTAGGCTTTCTTCAGTGCAGAGCATGCTAACACCACATGCTGACCGTGGGCTTCATCACTAAGGGGAGAACAGAACACCAACATGACCATCATTTCCATCCTCTGTCCTTCTTTTAGAAAATTGCTATATGCCCCCAGCCACCTCAATACTTACCTGAGCCCCATTGCAATCTATCGATGTGCACAACAGCCTCAGCTGTCCCGGGTCTCTGCCTCCTCATTGGCTGAGACAGCAAGTAGGAGCCATTGGCTCCCACTGCTGTGAATCACTACCAGTCAGCCAATGAGGAGAGAAAGGAGGCAGGGCCAAGCCACAGCTCGGGAACAGCTTGCTTGGCTGCCCCCATAGCAAGCTGCTTGCTACGGGGGCACACAACAGAAAGGAGGGGCCAGGAGCGCCAACAGGGGATCCGAGAAGACGAGGATCCAGGCTGCGCTATGCAAAACCAATGCACACAATTGCAAGTATAACATTTTTGTTATTTTACAGCCCAATTTTTTTTTATCCAAAAGTGCATAAACGATTTTGGGTTAGAATTGCTTTCAGATTTTGACTGCCATGTCCCACTAAAGAGATTTCTGATGTGTCACTAGAACAGAAAGAGAGGGAGGGAAATCTCCCCAGCTGGAACACAGCATTGAAAACCAGATGTTTTATTAGGCACTCAAATGCTTTTTGTTTTTGATAGCATGAGGAAGATTTACAGGCCCTGTTTCTATTGCATGTTATACCCTAAATATGGGGTGTAACATGTTCCTTAAAGCATAAGTTCACCTTTTCAGGCAGAATTTCACTTTTCATAATAAACAGAAGCCTTTTCCAATGCCACTTCTGGCCCAGCCATTCCAATGTGCTTTTCTGTCACATACCTCATCCACAGGTGGTTTACTTTTTTGTCAGTTTGAACGTTTTTTTTTTTTTTAGGTTGCAAAATTTCCTAGAAGATATCTCAACATTCACTTCCTGTAGGCCATCTTCTAATGCCTTCACTTCCTTTTTGTATTACAAAGGAGGGTGTGTTCATCACTCTGGACCACACCTCCCTCATTACAATACTACCTTCCTCCCATCAGCTATGTAGTACAAGGGCTTGTCTGATTTGATACAGATTAAATAGATTGTTCAGGTGTGTTCTCCCATTTCATAGTTCTGGTAAATCTAAAGGAAATTGTACAGAGATTGTACAAATCAGATTATAGTGTATGGCCATCTTTATACAAGTACCATAGGAGGGAGTGGATGGAGATACTCAGTTGTCAGGCCCCGTTCATATCTCCACGTAGTGAAGACGCACATTCCCACATGCGATTGTTTGGGATGGCTTTCACTTGTCACGCATAGGGCAGATCATTCACTTGAACAGGCTGCCATACATGCAACAACCACCCCAAAATAAATACTTAAAGTGCTTGTGAGCTACTATGGTAAATTACAATTGTGCTAAATAAGTCAATCAAATTAAATCAAATGAACTCACATTTGGTTCGCGGGCACTCAACACGAACTCATGAAGAGGGGAGGGGCTCTGACATCACGATGCTGTCTGGATCCTACGGCGAGTATAGGAAGTGTGCTGAGCACACTTTATTTTGAATTAATGTGAGTGGTATAATGAATATTACAATAATAGAAAGCTAAAGAGGATAAGGAGCTGTGTTTTCTCTTCTTTTTTGATACCATTAATGTGGAGTACTTGAGAGAGGGGACAAAAGGAAGTAGACCCCTGGAGGAGAAAGCCATCCATCCATACCCAATACAGGGATCAGCTTACTGGAGAGACCCCAGGTGGAATAATAATAATATTACAACGATCCATCCATTATCTGGGAAGGATTTCTGGCGCAGGAGATTTCTTCATCTGTCCACATAGGACAAAAAGCTGTTTTAGGCTAAAATTAAGGCGAGCGCATAGAAATATCACATCCAATCCATTTATTGAAGTTGGATTTTTTTGAACAAAAACACAGACGACTCTCTCTCTCTATATATATATATATATATATATATATATATATATATATTTATATTGAGTCATTTAATGTAATTTTCCTATAATATTCTTTAATTTTTTTATCAATATTTTTTCATATTTTAACAGTTTATGGATCTTTTTTGATTTATCACACACATATGGATTTATATTTTTAGTCACGTTCATATATATTAATCTAAAATATTTATTTTTATGTTGAATATATGGGTAATATTTAAATATTAATCACCAGAGCGCGGCACAATTTTTTACAATTTATATTCAACCACCCCAAAATAGCTCCATAACTTTTTTTTTTGGAGTAGAGCATGATGCGTTATTGAGGTTTTTTGTCAGTTTGCCAAAAAAGGCACATGGGGTGCCTTTAACATGTAATGACAACAAAAATACGATGCATATTTGCAGTGTTTCTGAAACACATGGCAAAGCGCGCATTTTCTGTGCTGTTTGCCATGCGTTCAGAAAGACAGATGTGAATGGAGCCTCATTGTTCTGTGTAAACTTTCACTTTCAGGCCCCATTCACACCAAGAGTAGAAGGAGTGCTCGTGTTTTCAGTGACACACATAGGGCAGCCTGTTGATTTCAACGGGCTGCGCTAGATGTGGCAAAGTAGCTCATGGGACATTTTGGCGTGGTGATTGTTGCACATATTTTTACTGAGCATTTTGCTGCATTTGTCACCTGTTTCTTCATGTGGCAAAATATGTGCTTATTTCTATGTTTGGTATACCGTTAATTAATGACAATGAAAGCACAATTAGGTAATTTTAAGTGTATAAATGTAGCCATACACTATACAATCTCCTTTAGATTTACCAAAACTATATAATAGGAAGCCACACCATCTACCCAATCACAGTATATCCAATCAAGCAGACCCTTGCACTGCAACAGGAGGGGCCTGTGGGCTGCATGTGGCCCCAGGGAGTCTAGCATGCGGCCTGAGCCTGTCTGTAGAGACTCCGGGGTATCCAGGTAAATGCACATGGGGAAAGATGCCAGGGACGCTGTGAAAAATAATTTGCTGGGTGAAGATAAGACCTTGTTCTCCAGATCAAAGAGCTTGTATATTTTTGCAACTGCGGTACATTAATGGTATAAAAAAAAAGGGGGGGGGGGGGGGGGGACTTTGCCTTTGAGGTGAATCCTTTAAACACTCTGCACAACTAATGTAACAGTAGAGTGAAGGCAAGAGTATGAGAATGGATGTTGAATGTACAAAGTCTGACTGCATATTTAGTTCACAGATTTCAATTGTCCCTCCCAAAACTGCACCCAAAATTAGCACTTTATTCAGTGACTGGCAAGTTGAGATGCTTACTGGATTTTTTTTTAGGATACAGTAGCAAGGAGTTCCAGTCTTGTAGCCTGGCTACATTTCCATCCACCTTTGGGAGTTTCAAAATATACAGGGGTTATACAAAAAAAAAATGGAAACACTACATGATTTGCAGGTGTGAATGTGAAGATGTGTTTCGCATTGAAAGTAATAGAACATTATTTTGTTTCTGCTGTGTAATGAGACACCTATTCAGGTGGGAAGCCTCACTTTTGTCATTCACTGCATGTGTTGCTAGTAATACAGAGTCATGTCAGAGCTTACTGAGCTTCAAAGAGGGCAAATTGTTGGTGGCCACTTAGCTGGTTCCTATGTGACTGAAATTGCCAATTTGCCATGTTATGAGTTACAGGATGAAAGGTTATGACAGCATAAACAATTACCGGGAAAACGCCCTCTGATAAGCAAAAGTACAATCAACATGGTCAACTGACCAAAAGACATAAAAAGGACATTGTGCAGGTTTGTGCCTGGAATAAGAAAACAACTGCTGCAAAATGACTGCAGAGATCAATCTCAGTCCCACAGCAGAAGAAAAAGGATGTTTATATTATTTCCGCTTTCCACGCAAATCATGTCATCTCTTTCACACCTGCAAATCATGTAGGGTTTCCATTTTTTGTCTAACCCCTGTAGATTAAAATTAAAAATACAGCAGGGAGAATAGGTCCCTTGTAGTGGCTATAATGATGTACAGATCTCTCTGAGACAAAGGCAATCTTTATTTGGCTTACCGTGTCTGCTTATGGCAAAAAATAAATATCTGTTTTATGTGTACTAACCCTTTAAAAATCTGAATCCCTCCAAGAAGCCATATGTAGCAATATTTTGTTCATATGACAATGCCTGGACGTCTAGCTCAAATACCTATGGGATAGTTCTTGTTCTCTACAGCATAAACACAGGATTAAATAAAAGAGCAATCACATAGCACTGAATACTGTATAAGTGTTACGCTCGGCCTGAAATGAGCTTTCCTTTATGGTCACTGATAATTTCTTTGTAGAGCATTTGTGCATGAGTGGTTCATTAATCATTCCTACAGTGATCAAAACAAAATATTTAAATTGAAAATATTTGATCACATTAAGGAAAGTAGCACAATTAAAAAGAATTATGATTTTATTAGGTTAAGTAAATCTCATTTTTCACTTTTTATTAAAGCAGCCATCTGATTTTGCATGGCTTCCATCAGGTGACCTGAAAACAACTGCTTATATCAGATGTACAAGAAGATGTCATCCTTTTCCTTATTTTAATACAGAAGGTGCTACATGGCAGATTTAATATACTTTTCCTTAAAGTATAACTATAGTCAAAAAAAGAAATACAGTATATGATGGAGCCTGTTCCAAGTATTAACACAGCAGTGTTTTTTTTTTTTTTCTAAATCGCCTGTAAATAGCCATGTTGTCCAGAAAAATGGGCAGTTAAAGTGGAACTTTATGCAAAAACTAAAAAAAAAGGCAGGATTTTTAATGCAGAAGAAACATGCTTTGGCTCTTCTGCATTAAAGTTACTTACCTATCTTTCTGGCCCTGTACAATGAGCTGCGCATGAGCCCAATACCTGGAAGCTGTCCACACGAAGATGTCAGCAGGCAGAGAGCTCCAGAATGATGAATCGCTGGAGACAAGTATAATTCCGCTTTAATTTGACTGAAATCCTAGTCTCAGCTTCCAAATGGTCAGTGCAGCTGGCAATCAACCAGTAGGGGGCATTGATTGTAGGACTGATAATAGCACAGAGACACCACTGACTGGCAGAAATGGGATCTGGTGGTCATCCTACACAAAAGGCCCCAGACAGAATAAGCAGAAATGGGCAGGATCAAACAGGTATTTAATGTGGCCATACACAAGATGAAAAAAAATCTAATAGAATTCCCCCTTCCACATTAAAAATTACTGGCAGACGAATCTCCGGCTGCAGCTATTGTCTGACAGGAGGGTGCCAACGGGGGGTACCTGTTGACAGGTTCAACAGGTATTTAGGCTCGCTATATACAGGCTCAACTAAGAAAAAAAAAATCTAACAAAATCTTCCATCCATACTTAAAAGTATAGAAGACAAATTTCCCTCTTTGGCTATTGTCAGGTGGGAAGGTGCTAACAGGGACACCCCATGGAACCAGCTCATATTCGTTGTGTATGGCCAGCATTAATTACACCAATTAAAAAAAAAAATGCACAACTATATTTACAAAGCAAAATAGGAGCCATTTACACAACTTTGGAATTTGAACTACAATGTAACTTTTCTGCATACCTTCCCTGGGTAAGTGACTCAAGCAGTGAAATTATTATCAGGGTGACAGCACAGATACCAGTCACCAATGTCAGCTCCTATAGCCACATATCCTCACAGCTAGCCATGGACTAGAAATGGTAATTAAACCCCAACCAATAAACCACTTTCTTTGCTCCCTCAAAATGCATGCTCAACTCTCTAAAGGCAGGGGTAGGCAACCTTTGAGAGATGAAGATCTACCTCAACAACATGGGAGAAATCAAAGATCACTGGGCACAGGGTCCCGTTAGCGAGATAACCTAGCAAGGTGTTCAGGAGTTTTAGTTTGCTTTCAGAAAGTGCACCGAACTCGCAATGTATAGTAGATGTCTATTGGTAAAGCGCAGCTAATCCACAGGAAAGCTGCGGGTATACTGCGTATCAGTGTGAAGACAACCTAATAGTGTGTTTAACCCTGTTATAGATGCTATTGTGCCCATGTAACTGCTGGTGTGTGTCCATCTACCGTATTTTTCGCTCCATAAGACGCACCTAGGTTTTAGGAGGAGGAAAACAAGAAAAAAACTATTCTGAACCAATGGACTGCAGATTTAGTACAGGAAATGACCAGAGACTGCGGGCATACTAGAGGAGATGGTCAGACTGCGGACAAGAGATGACCAGAGATTGCTGACATAGGACAGGAGTTGACCAAAGGCTGCGGACATACTACAGGAGATGATGACAAGAGACTGTGGACATACTACAGGAGATCATCATGACCTACAGAGATGACCAGAGACTGCGGACATAGTACAGGAGATGATGACCAGAGGTTGCGGACCTTTGGGGAGTGGAAAGGGGGGGGGGGGGGGGCAGGTGACATGTGACGCCAGGGAGAGAAGACTGTGGACACCGCTGAACCGAGGAACAGGTAGGACCGAGGAGCAGCTTCTGCTGCACAGAAGAGCCGAGCGGCCGGTCCCGTATTCTAACACGGCGGCGGCAAAAATACCAGGCCGGCTGCTCCAAAGGATGCAGACATTTTCCCCCATTATTTTGGGGGAAAAAAGTGCATCTTATGGAGCGAAAAATATGGTATATGGGCACAGCAGCATCTATATGGATACAATAGCAGCTACAGTATATGGGTATATGGGTACAACAGTAGCTATATGGGTACAATAGCACAAATATGCTACTGTGCCCATATAACTGATATTGTGCCCATAAAAATGCTATTGCATCCAGTATCCTTAAGCACAGTGGCACTGACCTTGTAGGCAGTGCTGCTTCATGCTGTGGATACTGCGGCTACTAGGATTAAGAGACGGAGTGCTGTTAATATCACTCCGTCTGACATTACTGCCGAAACGTCAGATGAGGCATCGGTTTATGCGGCTGGCTGATGGCTGATGCCTCCGTGGCTCTGCTCCCTCTGCGGCTGGTGCTACGTGCCTGAAAGTAGTTCCTATGCTTCCTCTGCACATTTATCCATGGCATGTGACAGCAGATCAGCAAGCCCAGGAGTCATCTGGCCACCATCAACTGGTGGATCGCAGTCCACAGGTTGCCAACCTGGGTTCTAAGTTATATAAATTGCTAACTATTGACAGGAAAGGGAAACATTCCAGCCTGTGCTCCAGCTAATGTAGTATGATTCAGCAGATATTTTTCCTAGAGCTTACTTACCTCATTATCAGGTTATGCAACTCACAGAGCCAAGGATGTCTGTCCTGTGAATTGTAAAAAGAAAAAAAAAAAAAAAAAAACATTCCTGTAGGTTGAAATACATAAAAACACAGGTATAGCTTCATTTGAGATCTTAGCATCAGTGATGCTCAGTGATCTTAGCATGCTCCTGGTAACTGTGACCTCAAAGAAATAGAACAGCTGCCAGATTATATTGTACCCAGAATGTTACAACAGACATGAACAAAAACTGAACCATATTCTCCCTTTAGGCCTGCTATACATGGTTCAGAATTCAGCCGGTTCAACAGGCAACGGCCAAATTTTGATCCATGTGTGGCCACTGTGGTTAAACATAAGTGAATCTACTGATCAACTTCAATTGCACTGCAGAGCTTTAGAATCTAAGAACATTCCTTCTCCTATCTTTTTTGCTGTGCATGGATGTGTCTCCTCCTGCCCTCGTCCTTTGCTCTGTATGGGTGGGTGGTTTGCATTTTAAGTGATTCCGGTCACTGGATAAAATTATGTTATGAAAAATAGAGGGTATCACTTAAACACCACATTTTCAAACCAGATTCATGGCCAGCTCTGTACAACCCTCTATTGCATTAAGGGAGTTAATCCTCATATGTAGCTGGTCATAGACCCCAAAGAGCAATCTGAAGTACAGGAATGGGGTTTTGGGTTTGCACAAAAAAAAAAAAAAAAAAAAAAAAACACTCAGCATTAGCTTATAACTGTGATTCGATAATAGTTCTAGCTAGTCTGATCTCTTTACCCCCTACCCCCCCTAGTCAGTAGCATCTTTGAGTAGCTCACAGATATTAGATTATCTCCCTTGATCCAACCAAAAATAGTATCTACATATCACCCAGAAATTCTGAAAGCCATTCTTATTCTATATCCACAAACCCACCTCACCTAATCAGTAATTATTATCTCTTGGATTTTCCTAATGGGACAGCTTTGCCCTCCACTGAAATAGAATTACCTTTTCTGAAAAGAAGCCTGCAGATACCACTCAGAGGGAAATGCACTGCTCAAAAAAATTAAAGGAACACTTTGAAAACACATCAGATCTCAAATGGGGAAAAATATCATGCTGAATAGCTATACTGATATGGACTGTGTAATGTGTTAGGAATGCAAGGATGCCCCATCGTTTGATGGAAAATTATCAACCTACAGGAGGACTGAACTCAAAGACACCCCAAAAAAAACATTGGGGCATGCTCCTAATGAGACGACGGATGGTGTCCTGGGGCATTTCCTCCCAGATCTGGACCAGGGCATCACTGGGCTCCTGGACAGTGTGAGGTGCAACCTGGCAGCGTCGGATGGACCGAAACATGATATCCCAGAGATGTTCTATTAGATTTAGGTCATACGAGCATGGTGGCCATTGAGTGGTATCAATTCTTTCATCCTCCAGGAACTGCCTACATACTCTCACCACATGAGGCCAGGCATTGTCGTGCACCAGGAGGAACCCAGAACCCACTGCACCAGTGTGGGGTCTGACAATGGGTCCAAGGATTTCATCCCAATACCTAATGGCAGTCAGGGTGCCATTGTCTAGCCTGCAGAGGTCTGTGCGTCCCTCCATGGATATGCCTCCCCAGACCATCACTGACCCACCACCAGAACAGTCATGCCAAACAATGTTACAGGCAAAATAACATTCTGCACGGCTTCTCCAGACCTTTTCACGTCTGTCACATGTGCTCAGGATGAACCTGCTCTCATGTCAGAAGCATAGTGAGCTAGTTAGAGCAAAGGACGTATGATCAGCTGCACTTCAAACAATCCAAAGTATGGGGGATGGATGAACATAGGCTTGCCACATCACATGTGACCCATCTAGACCCACTGTAGCCTGTATTGGGTTCTTGAACAAAAGGGTTGGACAATGGTTGGATTTCCAACTACAACCTATAGTGGTGGGACTCCCCAGCTATCTTCATGATACTGACCATTTGTTGAACCTGTGTCAGGAGGTTAACTGGAGGGATGGAGATACAGTTGTGTTCAAAATAATAGCAGTGTGTTGAAAAAAGTGAATAAAGCTCAAAATCCTTCTAATAGCTTTTATTTCCATACACACAAATGCATTGGGAACACTACACATTCTATTCCAAATGAAAACATGAAGAAAAATATATCAAATTTGTGGTGTTCCTCTAAAAAAATGGAAGAAAAGTGAATATTAGACTGGTCAAAAAAATAGCAGTGTTTGTATTCTTCTTTACAAACTCAAACATTCACTATATAAGCTGAATGATTGAAGATTTTGCTTTCCTTTGAATCATATTTTAGTTGTATAAGCACTCTTTCTGAGAACTGCTGTCCATCTGTGTTGCATGGAGTCAACCAACTTCTGGCTCCTGTGAACAGGTATTCCAGCCCAGGCTGATTGGACTACATTCCACAGTTCTCTATTTCTTGGTTTTGCCTCAGAAACGGCATTTTTGATGTCACCCCACAAGTTTTCTATTGGATTAAGATCCGGGGATTGGGCTGGCCACTCCATAACGTCAATCTTGTTGGTCTGGAACCAAGATGTTGCACGTTTACTGGTGTGTTTGGGGTCATTGTCTTGTTGGAACACCCATTTCAAGGGCATTTCCTCTTCAGCATAAGGCAGCATGACCTCTTCAAGTATTCTGATGTATTCAAACTTATCCATGATCCCTGGTATACGATAAATAGGCCCAACACCGTAGTATGAGAAACATCCCCATATCATGATGCTTGCGCAACCATGCTTCACTGTCTTCACAGTGTACTGTGCCTTGAATTCAGTGTCTGGGGGTCGTCTGACAAACTGTCTCCGGCCACCAGACCCAAAAAGAACAATCTTACTTTCATCAGTCCACAAAATGTTGCGCCATTTCTCTTTAGGCCAGTCAATGTGCTCTTTGGCAAGTTTGTAACCTCTTCAGCACGTCGTTTTTTTTTTCAACAGTTGGACTTTGCGGGGGCTTGGCTTCACATAGGCGTCTTCTAATTGTACCAGTACTCACAGGTAACTTTACACCTTCTTTGATCTTCCTGGAGCTGATTGTTGGCGGAGTCCTTGCCACTTTGGCTTTTTTTCTATCCATTCGAAAAGGTATTTTCGCTTTCTTCCACGTCTTTCAGGTTTTGGTTGCCATTTTAAAGCATTTGCGATCATTTTAGCTGAGAAGCCTATCATTTTGTGCACTTTTTTTTATATGTTTTCCCCTCTCCAATCAACTTTTTATTCAAGGTACGCTGTTCTTCTGAACAATGTCTGGAACGATCCATTTTCCTCAGAATTTCAGAGAGAAATGCACTGTAACCAGCATGTACAACATTTGCTGCCTTCCTTCCTTAAATAAGGGCAATAATTTCCACCTGTTTTTCAAAGAATGAATGACCTCACTAATAGAACTCCACACTGCTATTATTTTGAACATGCCCCTTTCAATTAGTGTTTCAATTACACAAAATCAGCAGCATGCATGTCATGACTGTTGGGTCTGTTGGATTTCTATTACTCTACACCTGCTAGTAAATTATTTGCCATGTAGAAATATTATTTCTACCAAAAACAGTGATTGATCAGGTTAGTGATGTCTGACTGCTATTATTTTGAACACAACTGTAGGTGGGTTACATGTGATGTGGCGAGCCTATATTCATCCATCCCCCATACTTCGGGGCTTAGGGCCATTTCATTCTTTTTAGATGTGTGTGGACTATATTCCCAAATACAGAGGGAATTCATTTTGGAATGTCTTGAATACCTATTATCACACAACTACTTTTCTTTTGATGATGTTTTTTACCTCCAATGATGTGGAGCAGTGATGGGTGCCAGGTTTTCACCCTCTCTTGCCAACCTCTACATGGGTTGGTGGGAAAGGGTGAAGATATTTGGATCCGACAACCCGTTCCATCCCCACATCCAATTTTTCATGCGCTACATAGATGATTTGATCTTCATGTGCTAAAGTGAGTTTGAGGATTTGGAAGGTTTTTTGTCATATCTCAACGACAATGAACTTTACCTCAGCTTCACTGGACAGATGAGCGATCACAGCATTAATTTCTTGGATGTCAAACTCAGTGGTTGTGATGGTACAGTTGTCACCAGTTTATACAGGAAACCCTTATCAGGCAAAGCATTCTAAGAGCTGACTCAGGACATCCCAAACACACAGAGGGATTCATGTTGGACAGTTCCTACGATTGCGTTGGATTTGTAATAAGGATGAAGATTTCAATAGAGAGGTGACACACATGATGGATAGTTTTTTTTACAGAGAGGTTATCCGGTGCCCATGATAGATCGTGCTGTGGGTATAGCTAACAATACTGACAGGAACAACTTATTAATAACAAAGGAGAGGTGTAGTTCCAGGCAGGAACCACCAATTTTCTCCACGGCTTTCAGCCTAGAGTTTGGGAGGATTAAAAGGATCATTGAGTGCTATCTTCCCATACTAGTGAGTGATGACATATTTGCACAAATATTGTCCCACGGTACTAAAATTGTTTCCCGACGTGCATCAACTTTGGGCAATACTCTGTCCGCTAGCTATTTCTCCTCTAAAAAACCTCAGAGAACATGGCTGAGTTTTAAGGGTAACTAGAGGTGTGGTATAGACAGCTGTCCCTGTTGCTCTTGTATTAAGAAAGGGGAGGAATTTAGATCCACGGTTACTGACAAGGTTTACAGGATCAAAAACTTTATCAACTGTAATACTAAAGCATCTAATAGTTTTGATCACCTGTAGAAGTTATCAAGTACAATATGTTGTTAGAACGACTAGGAGGTTACGAGATCGCCTCCATGATCATGTTTATGACATACAAAAGAATCATTCTACCAATGTCGCTAATCATTTCAACAGTGCTCAGGAAGTCACCTTAGCATACAGAGCATTGAGGACAGGTCTCCTAGGGGTGGAGATGGCTTTAGATTGCTGTGCGAATGTGAAGTCTTTTGGATTTTATTTGTGTACACATATTCCTAATGGTTTGAATTTTGAATGGGATCTTACCCATTTTTATG